ATGAAATATAGTGTTCTCTCTGTGCCAGGCACTTTTAAATCTTTACATCTACTAGCTTATTTAAACCTCATAACTACCTTGGAGAGTGGATGTTATCATCACTTCCATTTTACAGATGAGGAAGCTGAGGAACAGGCAGATTCAGTGAGTTGCCCAGGGTCACAAGGTGAGAGCTAGTAAAAAGCAAAGTCAAGGCCCAAACTTAACAATATGCCATCATGTATCTTATCAAATTTAATAACGTGCAGAGCAGACAGAGCATGTTTGTGGACAAATCTGGGTTGCAGGCTACCAATTTGAGGCTCATGGTTTAAATATGAGTTGGGAAGCTCTGTAGGGGAGGGGAGGAGGGCAGGTGGGGGAGTACTGAACTTGGCCTGGCCCATGGCTTATTAAGAATCATGGAACCTCACAGATGGGCAGGATCTTGGCAACAGTCAGGTTCACCTTTATTCCTATTTTACAGATGGGGAAAGCTGAAGTGGGGGCAGGACTTGCCCAAGGTCATCGTGGCTCGGGGCCCCTTCCCATCCCCCTCTCATTCATAGGCTTCTCACTTGAATTTATGCCCTTGGAACCAAGAAGTCTACAGGATGAAACTGCACCCGTGATTCCAATCTGAAGGAGAGGGGGAAGACAGAGATCTGTCCTGGAGGCAGAACACCTAGGTCCAGGTCCCCTTCCCTTAGGGATGCCTGTCTGTCCCTAGGAGTGGATCATCCTGGATTAGGGAGCAGTAGATTCTACCCTAACCTGGCCCAAAGTCTGCCTCTGGCAGTTATAGGGAAGGTGGGCGCTGACCAGGGTGCTGAACCCGTATGGTGTCTCCCTCTTAAGCTTGGCCAGCTGAGAGGAGAGAGGTTCTTAGTAGGAAGGCCCTGGAGCTAAAAATTCTGTAGTCTGCATGGCCTTGAGGTCATTCAACTGCTCTGGACCTGACTTTTCATCTGTCCAATGAGGAGAGTAGCTCCTAAATTCAGAAGGCAGAGGTAAGCAACATTTGGTGACGGAACCAGGTGACAGAACCCTGCACAGAGCCCAAGCCCATCTTTGGGGCCCAGTAAAGCCTCTCAGGATCTCACCCCCACAGAGTGGCTTTATAGGCCTATTTCTTCCTCTGGAATGGGGCCAGTACTGGGAGGTTTCCGATGCTCCTAACCTGGGCACTGTGGCTGTAGGTGGAAGTGCTCAGATACATGAGACACACTTCACAAGGGGAATAAGTTAGTATTAGGTCATCCTGGGGGTTACCCAAGTCCTGATTTGGTTTTCCAGCGTCAAGAATAGGTTTTGCATAGGGATCCATGCTTCTCACCTGGACAGGGTGTGGTCTGGATATAGCGAATCTACAAAAAGAACCCTGGCTTTACAAGCAGGCTGACCAGGTTTCTATCACAGTTCTGCCACCCCTAGAGTGGCAAGTCCAGCACCTCGACCAATGTTGCTAACCTCAGGGGTGGCTATGAGACTAGGAAAAGCCTAGCACACTGTGGCACCAGATTAATGCTTGTTTCCTGCACTGGAGGGCAACCTAAGGTTCCTTTCCTCTTGTGCGTGAGCCCACAGGCTTATCTACCCATATAGCCTTAGTAATAATAGTTGGTAGCCACTGAGCTCCAACCATCTGTTTATAAAACATTATTTGGCTAGACCCTGCAACAATCCTGAAGGTAGAGGTGATGCTCATGTTGCAGATAAGGCCATGCACCAGCAAAGGTAAGGCTGGGAGTCACACCCATACCTGCTTGATTCTGAGACCCCTGCTTGGCTTTGAGCAAATTACTGGACCTTTCCAAACTCTCTCTTTCTGGTCTAGAATACAAAGATAGTATCTTATCACAGTTGTTATGACTTGAAGATATAATGTATGCAATTTTACAAGGGGATATACGTATTTAAAGACATGAAACACATTTGAGTGACCCACAGGGGCAAAGAAATGTAGTGGATGCAAGGGATAAAAGTGAAAAGACTTAAAATGAGGGGGTTCTTGCATGTACTAGTCATAGTGTGCCATGAACCAAGATGATTTACTTCATTCTTTGCACCTGATGTCCAGGTAAAGGAGAAAGATATAGTTTGTATAGTAGAGTGCCTCAAACTTTAATTACCTTGAGAACTTGTTGAAACGCAGATTCTCATCTGATAAGTCTGGGGTGAGGCCTCAGGTTCTGCATTTTTAACAAGTTCCCAGGTGCTGTTGTTGGAGTAGCAAGGGATGTAGGAAGTCTTCTCTTCCCTTCTCAGGAGTTCTCAAATGTGCTCGATAATATGAATCACCCAAAGAACTTGTAAAAAATGGATTTAAATGCCCTTTCCTTAAAGATCTGGATCATAGTCTGGGTTGGGCCCAGGATGAACAGTATACTTTGAGCAAGCATCTCAGGAGACTGGCTCAGACAAGCTGGGGAACCATGGCTGTGGTACTCATCTGTACCATGCGGTGCAGATGCAGGAGACCAGCTCACTGGACCTTTGTCCCAATGTGCCTTCCTGAATGGAGAGGTGGGAAAAAAGAGCAAGGACATTTTCCCAGGCTCTCTTGCAGCCATGTAGTTTAAGAGTTAATGTGGGTTCCAACTATCAGATGTATTCAATCAAGCCGTGAACCTGGAACTGAATTGAGTAGGGGTCAGGTGGCAGTGTGAAGGGTGTTCACTTTCTGGTGCAGCTCTAGGCAGTTGCTGTGTGGCTTTGGAGTTTCCTGATCCCCAGGTCACGGCAACAATATGATCTTCCTGATCTCAATATCCAAAATTTTTTGTTCAAAAAAGCTGAAATCATTTCTGTTTACTGCAGCTGAACTTCAGGACTAACACTTCAGCAGGCCCCTCCCACCCTGCTGAAGTGTGCATGTGGGGACCATCACACTGGCAACCACAACACTCACCTTAATGAGGCTTGTATGGAGCATAGCCTTTCATGTGGTCATCCAACCTCCTCTGCCAGACTGCACCATCAGCCTCAGAGACTGAGCCTTCCACTTTGTACTTCTCACCCCACCATGTCACTGGTGGGGTATTCAAACCTCATGTCATTGCTGCCTTTTGCATTCCAAGATCTGTTTTTAGACACCTAGGTCTTGCCAGCCATTACTGCCTACCATTCTTCACTGCCTGCTACTCCTGCCTTCTGACCCATCCTCCAGGTCAGATTCAGGGCCAAGCACAGCTAGAATGACTTGGGGTGCCTTATGATATCCCAAGGACAAACAAGGGCAGAGACAGGGCTGCCTGCCTTTGAATCTCTCCTATGGTGCAAAAAGTCGATAGTGGTCCACAGCATTCAAGTGTAATCATTTCTGTTTACTGCAGCTGAACTTCAGGACTAACACTTCAGCAGGCCCCTCCCACCCTGCTGAAGTGTGCATGTGGGGAATCTTTCCTCTCCTGGGTGTTGGGACTTGTCTTATTGGAATTGCACCAAAGTAGACAAGATTAGAAGATTAGACAGAGGATGTTAACCATTCCACTGACTCTAATTTTCCTCTAAGAGAGGCATGTGTCAGTAACAGAATGTCATTAACAATGGAAAGCTGGGTTCTAAAGAGTGAGCTTATGTGGGGTTTGCTACCCATTTTCTAACTATATGTCAAGAGGTACTAACCATCCAGCACAAGAATGTAAAGTCTTCAATTTGAGCATAATACATTCTTAGAGTTGGGGTCTCAAGAGATTCACGACTTCAGAATGGAGGCTGACAGAAGCTTATGAATGAGGAGATAAATGCAATGAGAAACACAGCCAGATAAAAAACTGGAAGACAAAGCAAGGAAGAGAAGGTGGGGATGGTGGGGGAGGGCTGCCGGAGATGGTACAAGTGGTCTATGGCACTTCACCAAAAGACAAGGATTTGGAACCAGACTTTTATTTTACTCATAAGCCACCATGTGAACAAAATTTCAAACCAAGCAAAAAGTAATGCCATGAACCTCACCAGACCTGGAAAGGTCATGGTAACTTCCCTACAGACAGGACCCATCCAATATCACATCCAATCCACAACCTTCCCCAAAAGTCAAACCCAACTCCTCTGTAGCTCACCAGCCATGGCCATCCCAGCATGACTATTAGCAAAGGGATGGCCTGCTCCCCCCAGGGGTGATTGGCTCTGGTCTCTGCCTTGTTTGGCTTAGGTCAAAATTCTTTAAAAAAAAAAAAAAAGAAAAGAAAAGAAAGAAAGAAAAGAAGAAAAGAAAAGAAAAGAAAAAAGAAAAGAAAAGAAAGAAAGAAAGAAAGAAAGAAAGAAATGGAGGACTAAACCACAATGAGAAACTATTTCACATCAACCAGAAAGGCTATACACAAGAAGAGTAACAAGTACTGGCAAGGATGTGGAGAAAGTGGAACCCTCATACCCTGTTGGTGGGAATGTAAACTGGTACAATCACTTTGGAAAAACAGTCTAGCAGTTCCTCAAAAAAGTTAAACACTGAGTTACCTCATGATCCAGTAATTTTACTCCTAGGTATATATCCAACACAATTAAAAACATATGTCCACAAAAAAAATGTAAACAAATGTTCATAGCAACATTATTCATAATAGCCAAAAAGTAGAAACCACCCAATTGTCTAGTAACTGATAAATAGATAAAGAAAATGTGGTATATCGATACAATGGAATATGACTCAGCCATAAAAAGGAATGATGTACTGATATATGCTGCAACATGGATGATCCCTGAAAACATTAAGTGAAACAAACCAGATGCAAAAGGCCACATGTGTGATTCCACTTAGAACTGTCCAAAATAAGCATATCTTTAGAGACAGAGAATAAACTAGTGGCTTCCTGGGGCTGAGAGGCAGGGAATGGAGAGTGACTGTAAATGAGTATGAGGTTTCTTTTTGGGGGGTGAAAATGTTTAGGAATTAGACATGGCGATGGATGCACAACACTGTGAATATACTGAAAACCACTTAATTGCACACTTTTAAAAGTGTGAACTTTATGGATATGTGAATTATATCTCAATAAAGTTGTTTAAAAAAAGATAAATAGGTTATTAAGTGCTGATATTTATTGTTAAGGCTTCAACCTTTCAGGTTCCACAAAACATACACCTGAACCATTCTCATTTGTTGCTTGGTGATTACTCATGGCTGGAAGGAGGAAAGTGGCCCCAACTGCAAGCACTGACAGCTTGACTCCTAAGTTCCTAAAGGCCCCCACATGACAACTAAGACACTGTGTTCTTCAATGTCCTTGATGCAAGGAGACCCACACACAAATGGCTGATTCCACAGAGGAATCACTAAAGCTTCTGTTTCCAGAAAACAGAATTATGTATATGACTATCCATTCGACCTTTGCTACTAGAAAATCTAAGTGGCAAACTTATTGTTTCAATCTTTTCTGTGAATCGGGATGCTAAAACTTGTCTACCTTCCCTGATTATCTGATGGTCTCAGGTCTGACCTTCCTTTAAATACTTCCTTTTATAATAAAGGATGCTTTTATGAGTAAATTGTCCCAAGTCCTTTTGGTAGCAGATACAATAAGATTTCAAAACAAAAACATTTGCTGGCCCTTCAGGAAGAAAACTATGATTGATGATTTCATTTGTAGCTCTGCCTGACCTCTGGGCCTTTCTCCAGAGTAGATACGTTCTAAAGGATTCAAGGTGGTCTTTTACTATATCAGTGCTTGAGATGGTTTCTGCTAGAAATGCCCAGGGAGCCCACTCAGGCTAGCCTCCCAAAGCCCAGCCTCCATCTTAGGTTATCCTAGGCCTATGTGCCAATTTAGTTTACCCTTAACCCCCTCTTGGGCAAGGCAGACAGGCAAGGCAGTCCCTGCACATTAGCAGACACCTCAGAAAGGCTCTAGTAGCCCCCTGTCCACAAATAAATAAAATGTCATTAATTTAAAGAGAAAGAACCCAAGAAGCTGAGAAATAAAAGGACCCACCCATAGCTGAAATGCTAGTTGTGAAGCCAAAGTGACTAGTGCTTTGATCTCTTGCCTCTGAGCCTGGCGCTCTATGGTGCTCTTTCCACTCCAGCACAGGGGTTCATCACTGACCACGTCTGTCAGGCCTCGGGCTGAAAAGGATCCGGAGAACACCAAAGGTCAGGTGCGCCAGACAGAGGGCACAGGCTTCCAGAGGTGGGGCTCCTTGGGGGTGAAATGCCTTCCTGGGTTGCATCTCGCTTAACTTTTCCATCCACCCCAGTCACTGGCTTCCAGAGCCTGGCTTCCCTGTTCCTCCCAAAGTTCAACACCATGCTCAGGTGCAGCCCATGCTCCTGTGGTCATCTGGTTCCTGTGTTCATCTGGGTCCCAAGGGACACTCTGTAAGCAAGTACCACACAAAGCCTTGAACCTACAATCATTTCCTGCTGCTCAGCATATACAGAGGCACCATATACAGAGGCAAACATCAGAATGTTTTAGAGTTGGAAGAGCACCTTAGATTTCATAGGCCCTGGGAGGAGAAGGGACTTAGGGTCATTTAGTAAGTTAGTGGTAAAAATGAGATTAGCCTTCAGGTCTGTTCTGCTTATTCCTCTGTTTATAGGCTGCCATTGCCCAGACAGACCTAGAGGACTGGCTCAGATAGGCAGACTTGGAGGATTTTGCCCTTAGAATGATGCAGTCTTTCTGCAGTGTGCCTGCCCACATGGAAGTCATCCTTGTGGCCTACGGGGTTTCCAGTCACTCATTTTTATCCAAGCAGCCAGACTGGGACCCATCTTAGTGATGTCAAGAACAATAGCAATTAATGAAGGTAAGGTGCCTGAGATGCAAGAATGAGCCCTTGGTAGGAAAAGAGTCATTTAGCTCCACAAAGATTCAAACTCTAAAGTCTCATAACTGGAAGGAACTGTGCAGCAAAGAAAAGTGGGAGACGGCAACATGATTTTTGTATTGACATTTGGTTCTTAATAATAACATCGAAAATGCGTTCTGTTCTTATAGCGCTGCATTGGGTTGAGGATATATGTTGCCGGAGTCTCCCCTGGGAGGTGGGGAGAAGCTGGTGGTGAGAGACACACACTGATTTCTCTTTGGGACCTATATGCAGCCAGGTGGAGAGCTGCAGAAGGTGCCTTGGCTCTGACAGGGGGTAGGGAGGCAATCCCAGCCATCCTGCAAAAACATGGGCAGAGTCCCTTGCCCCCAGCCCGCAAGAACACGGTTGCTGATGGGGCCAGTGGTGGCAGCTCCAGGAGAGTGGAGGGAAGGCTGGGATGTTACATTCTTGAGGCCTTCACAGGTACATGTCATCGTAGCCCGGCGGGGGAAGATGGTCTGGGTTAGGTCTGGAATGGAAAGAGGGGCTGGTGAGTTGGCGTGATGGAGGGCCGGGGGCACACAGGCAGACAGGACTGTGAGCTGAGGGAGCCTGCACTCCAGAATGATGTGATGGTTCATGGAGTTTAAGAGCATGTGCCCTAGAGTAAGAGAGACTGAGACTGAAACCTGATTCTTCCACCATGGGTAAGTTACTTCACCTCTCAAAGTCTTGATCTCTGCATCTGTAAAATGTGGATACAAATATCTCCCCACAAGTGTTGATATAGGGACCCAGTGAGTTCCTAACACATGCTAAACTTCCACTAAGTGTGTAGCTCCTCTTCCTCTGGGTAATTCTTGCAGTGAGCTGGCGGGGAAGGGAGCCACTAAGAAATGGGGAGCACCTGGAAGCTCCAAGGGGTCATCAGGCAGGGCCTGGAGGAGGCTTCACTTTCCTGGCAGTGGAAAATAGGGCTAGTGGCAACTCTGTACCTTCATTACTGTAACACTAAACTGAGTTGCCATTAAGTCCTACTTCTAGAATACCTGAGTGAATACCTACCCAGATGGGCTGGTCCCAGTGGGTCCAAAAGGGTCAAAGCGTGCTCCTGGGGGCACAGCGCCTGGAGGAAGCCGGTTTGGGAGGCCTGAGGATGGGTCAATAAGTGCTCTTGGGAAGCCAGATCTCAAGGGATCCACAATCATGCCACCTCTCCGACACCTGTGTCAAGAAGAAAAGATGGGTCAGCAAGTGTGGCAGGGGGCTGTTGGAGAAGTGGCAAAAGGGGTGAGAAAAGACTGAGAATGCCTGGGATATTCACTCTGGGAGGTTCCAAAAGACATGGCAGGGATGGCTATGAGTGCCAGCAGGAAGTGGGCAAGAACACAAAGAACACACCTCCCCTGGCACACACAGCCTGAACTTTCAGCTCTCTAGGCTCCCTAAGCCTGCAAAACTGAGATTCCTGTCATGTCTTACTCCCAAGGGGGACAATTTGATCAAGAACAGGTGCCAGAACTTGCCAAGGTCAATGCAGAACCATTACAAGACCTGTAGGGCACTACTTTAGGTCTAAGGCTTAATAATAGCATTGAGACAATTAGTGCTAGCTTTTTTGTTCTGTTTCCTTAAAGAGCTTGAGGATTAGTAATCTATGGACTGCCTGTGGGTCCCCAGTTTGGCTCCTGATAGCATCTGTCCCTCATGGAATTCCATGGACCTGACCTCATGTGCTCAAACTTGGACACATGTGCTGATGTTCCCCTAAACTTCGTTCAAGCTTAACTGCAGATTTATGTGATTTCTCCAGTCTAAAAATGAGATGCTTAAGTTGGATCATTTTGCAGCAGAGGTTAAAATCTAGTCTGAATCATTCAGAGAAGACAATGCACAGCTGAAGCTGTAAAGACCTTGCTGAGTGCATGGCAAGAACCACACAGAGCCTAATGGGATCACAGACTTCCCTTATCAAACGAGGTGACCTCTGAATAGCCATGAGCTGCCCTAAGGTCTGTAGCCCACTAAACACTGAAGCTCTTCAGTCTCTGCACCTAATAAACCCACATGGTATCCGGCTCTCCAAGGGAGGGCTGGTATCCTCCACGGGACGACAGGGCCAGAAATGACAGAGGAGCTGCTCCCCTGGCTTGCTCAGCCCCTCCCCAACATGCAGAGCTCTCCTGCACTGCCCCAGGCATGGCAGAGTAGAACAAGTGGCAATAATTTCTTGGCTGCTCAGCAACAACCTGCCTCCTTCACCCCAAGGAAGACTGATGAAAAGCTCTAAAATTAGAAGATAAGCTGGGGCTAAAAGCCACGAGAGCAAGCTGTGTGGCTGCCACCTCTCCAGCAGTACTTACCCAAAGGGGTCTAGGTCTTCTCCCCCAACAGCAAATGGGCCCAAGGGATCACACCTGAAACAAACAAGGGACAATTACCACAAGTCCCAGAGCAGCCAGGCACCTGGGCTCCCAGAGGGCTGAACCTGATGCCCATGGGGTCACAGATCCACTCTCAGGCTTTGGGGACAGAGAAAGCCCCTGAAAGAGACCAGAACAGAAGGGATGTTATTTCAAAGTGGTCTTTGGCACAGATTAACACTGATTAATATTACAATGGCAATATCGAAAAGAGGTGAACACAAAGCTAAAACACATGGAGGATCTCAATTCTGTAGAAAGAAAAAAATGTTAACAGTGGTAACCTCTACATAAATTTTATTTTAATTCACACCTTTCTCAAATTCCTAAACTTTGGCTAAAGAATCAACAGCTTTCAGATCAGAAAATTATTCTAAAACCAAAAACCAAAAGCTCAGATTTAAAAGCTTCCAAGGGTAGAATGAGATGAGTACTCACATACGGCCAGCACAGGGCTTCTCAACCTTTTTATCATAATGGTCCCTGCATGAAATTTTAATACCACAGGTACTGTTTATGCACTGTAGCCCACTGGAGGGCCACAAACTATTGTAATCTCTAAGATTTTTTTTCACTCCCCACCAAGAACCAATTTTTACCCTCATTGACAATGCATGAGCTAGGAGCATAAATGAGTGTGTGCTTTCTTGATATTCTATATTATATAACATATATCTCTTTCAAAACCCTTATATATCTTTATATTCTTTGATACACTAATTTTATGTCTAGATATCAATTTTAAAGAAAGAATACATAATTCAAATTAAAATATCACCATAAAAACTTTAATCAAGGGAATTGGATTGGCTTAAATGGAGACCAGTTATATGAATATACCATATCATCATGGTATATCCCTAAATGCAGCCATGGAAATGATGTTCTTCGAATGCTTTAACATGACATGGGAAAATGCTTACACTCTAATGTTAACTGTGAGAGAAAGAAGATTATCAATGGCCTAGAAAATCAAATGTGAAAACCCTTGTGTGGGGGTGTGTGTAGATAAATAAAACTAGAAAGAAGTGTATTGAAAACAGTGACAGTTATACCTGGGTAGGGAGTTTCTTCTTTTGATTTCCTGTTTGTTTGTTTTTTCTATAAAGGATATGGATATCCTTAGTATTTGAAAAAGTGGTACTTGGAATCTGCTTGGAGTCCCAGCAAACAATTCAAACCTGGTAGTTCTGGGGCAAGGCAGGTTCCTGACAGACCTCAGGAAAGCCCTGTAAATAGCAGCAAATCTAAGCTTACAGTTAAGAAGACATTAATTAAAGAACTAGAAAAAAAAAATCCAAAAGTAGGTGCTTCTCCAGTCAGTTCTACCTAATGGGCTGGAAAGGATACTGTGATTTAGGTGGATTAAGTTTCCAAGGGAAGGAATTTTTCCTGACCTAGGTTATTGTTCCCAAGGCATGGTTCATGGAGCTGGGATGGAGTATAAGTTTCTCCTGGCCTCACAACATCCTGCCTCACTGGACAGACCAAGTGGTACCAGAGGGCAGCAAACATTTTGCTTATCTCCACAAACTGGCCCCCTTCAGAGCAGCAAACAGAAGGGACTTCTAGTGGCTATAAAAATGGGCTGAGTCTAATGGCTCCTGAAACATGCAGCCATCTCTATTTTTCTCTCCTGGACCACAGTGTGAGGAGGAAAGAAGAAATGGAGGACAATGGGAACTAGAAAGGCAGCTGCAAGGCCCACCCCAACAATTTGTGTACTTGAAACTGTCATAACATACCCTTTAGGCTCACATTCAATGCAGTCTCACTGCCATACAGTCACACTTCTGTGAGCTCATTATGTACATGTGCGGAACACACTTTAAAATAGTCTTGGTCCTGATGTGCTGAATGAGGCTCTAGGGATTAAAAAAAACAGAAGGTAATTTTTGTAAATGGTTTCTGAAATTAAGCCCCTACTACTTCA